CGGTTTCCTCTGGTGCTAGCGGAGCCATGGCCACTTCCGCGTTGAAATCTCCGCCCTTGCGCCGGGTATTCGTGGTGGGAGTTGGCATGACCAAGGTAAACGGATATGCAGCTCCCCCCGGAGGAGGGCTCCTTGCCCCGCTCTGTCCCCTTGGGAAGAGCTCTGAGGTGGCCTGCGCTCTGAGCGGGGCCTGTGTGTGCTGTTCCATGTCCTTCCTGCCCGCTGGGGCCGGCTCCCAGCTCTGGCGTTTTTAGCACCTGCGGCATGAGGGTGGCGACTCGGGTCCGGTTATGGTGTAAGTGTCCCGGCGGGGTCGTAGTGTCTCAGGCTTGTTCCTGTGACATTTCTTCCCCCTTTCTCTGTCCCTTTCCCCCTCAAGTTTGTGAAGGAGTCTCCAGGCTAACCCAGGGTCCTAACTCCTTTGATTATGTGTGGGGTTCCAAGGGATGGGCTGTCTCACACCCGAAGCGAAGCAGGTCCTGCCTGTCCCAGTGCTGCATTCCCACGAGGACTCCCCCCAGCGGCCCTTCTCGGGGTCAGCTCCAGATGTGGACGCGGAGAGAAAGACTAGTGATGTGCGGCGTCCGGGCACGGCTGGCTGATTTCTTGGGTCCTCTGACTCGTTTCTGTCCTTCGAGTATCTGCCTGAGGCCAAGGCTCGGCCTTGTTGCTTTGCTTCACTGTTTTCACTGTTAAATGTTTCTTTTTTGGACAGAGGGTGTGTGTGCTCGCATCCCCTGGCAAAAAGGATAGAGAGGGAGAGAGGAAAGGCCACAGTCTGACTCAACTAAGTTACATTCTTTTTTTCTCTTAAAGGTTTTTGTCATAGGATGGGTGAGCTCGCCAGAGAGACAGATAGAAATAGAGAGAGAGAAAGTGAGAAATCATTCTCCAGGAGGCACGGCCAGCTGCGATTCTTTCTCTGTTCTCCTGGGATTTTGGGCACTTGCACACATGTGCCCAGCGTGAGTTTCAAGCCACCAGGTTGGGACTCTAACTATGGTTGGCCATGTGGGAGTAGAGCCTCTTAACCACTGTGCCACCTGCTGGCCCTCTTTGCATTCTTAAAATATCAGTTCAGATCTTCTCCAGGAAACCTCTGATCCTCCTCAAATTCCCATAAAGGCCATTATAGTACTGTTATAGCAAAATTATCTGGGGCCAGCAGGTGGCATGATGGTTAAGGCTCTGCACTCCCACATGGTCCACTGCAGTACAAGGCCCAGACTTGGTGGCTTGCTTTCACTTTCTCTAGTGAACATGTGTGCCCTATAGCAAATGAAAATAATAATAATGATAAATAAAATTAAGTAAATTCTGAAAAAAAAGATCTGTTATGTGTCTATAGTATTCTTTAGCATATAATCTCCTGAATGGGTCTCATGTCTTACCATTCCTATATCCCTCTCACCTTGAAAGTACCTGCTGCCTGAAGGTCTTCAGTGAATGTTAGTTGAACAATATTAAATGGATATGCTTTGTGAAAGACGTCCTAGGGGGAATTCAACTTCTGGGAAAAAAAACCTTAAAATTTTTATTTTACCAAGAAAAAAAATGATCTTATACTTGGGCTGAAAGTATACAATTCACTCAACACACATAAATAGAAAAGTTGACTAGTAAGTTATAAAGCAGAAGCCTAGGGATCATTCTGCCTTTTCATAGATGAGGGGGCTTCTAATATATGTGGGTAGTAAAATCTTTTTAATATTAAAAAAAAATTTATAGTGTATGTGTATGCATGAAAGGAAGAGAGACAAAGTATCCTTGACAGAGTCACTTCGCACTGCAGTCCCCTTTCCTCAACCTTCTAGCTCCTCCAGATCTTGGCTATCTATGCACAAGTGCACCATTGAGAAACAGAGAAAGGGGAAGTGAGAAATCACGCTCCCAGAGGGGTTGGCCATGATGCAATCCCTTCCCTTATTCTCCTCTCAGGACTTTGGGTACACATGCACATGTGCCTGGCTTGTTTTCAAGCTGCTGGATCCCGGACTTGAACTGCTCAAGTTGGCATGTGGGATCCAGCCTCCTAAATCTCCATGCCATCTGCTGGACTTCAGTAAAACCTTTTTGAATGTGATATTAATGTAGTTGGATCTTCCATTATTGAACGTCTGATTATATGAGCTGTAGAGATACTTCTCAGCTATGATGGAGTTACAGCCAATAAACTCCTGTAAGTTGAAATGCATTGAATATACC